GAACCAGCGGTGAGCAGCTTGGGGATTACTGCCTTGGCCCTAGAAGGAATGGATCTTCCAGGCAGAATCAATTCAAGTGTGGTTCTGGGCTTTTTCCTTTCTTTTTTTACATGTTATTTATTTATTTGACAGAGAGAGACACAGTGAGAGAGGGAACACAAGCAAGGGGAGTGGGAGAGGGAAAGCAGGCTTCCCACTGAGCAAGGAAGCTGACTCAGGGCTCGATACCAGGATCTTAGGATCATGACCCGAGCTGAAGGCAGACGCTTAACAACTGAGCCACCAAGGCGCTGCCTGGGCTTTAATTTTTCTTTTACAAGTCTTAGCACTATTATGTGAGTACTGTTCATCTTTGTATTATCAGAAAATTTTTTCTTCTGCTGGCTTCTGGTGTTCCTTTGCTTAAAGAAATATCACCCCAATCTCTGCTTCTCTCTTCACATTATCTTCTTTGTATATTCCTGTATGTCCTTTCCTTTTTTTTTTTTTTTTTTTTTTTAGATTTATTCATTTGAGGGCTCCTGGGTGGCTCAGTTGTTAAGCGTCTGCCTTCAGCTCAGGTCATGACCCCAGGGTCGTGGGATAGAGACCCACATCAGACTCTCCGTTTGGCGGGAAGCCTGCTTTTCCCTCTCTCTCTGCTTCTGCTCCCTCTCTTGCTTGTGTCTCTCTCTGTCAAATAAATAAATAAATAAATAATCTTAAAAAAAAAAGATTTATTCATTTGAGATAGAGAAAGCGAGCACACATACAAGAGAGGGACACTCTCATTGCAGTTAGGGCCTACCCTAACCCAATATGACTTCATCTTGATTCTTACCTTAGTTACATCTACAATTCCAAATAAGCCACATTCTGAAGTTCCAGGTAGACTTGAATTTTGGAGAGACACTATTCAATCCACAATTTTCAATGTTTTATTGGAAGTCACTAGGAAAATAAGAAATTTAACAAGCCCTGCTATAATATTTACCTGCTTTGAGGACAAACGGCTTGAGGAGAGGGATTGCTTCCTATTCTTCTGAGACTTGCCTGCACTAGAATAGTTGTGGGTGTTAAAGACCCAGGATATCATCTAATGTCTAATCTCAATTCTTCTCCTCATTGTAGAAGATGAAAAAACAATCTAAAGAGAGGAAAAAACCTGTTCAGTCCTGGCCACAAGCAGCTGCACTATAACTAGAAAAGAACCCATACCCTTCCCTTTTGGTTCACACTTACCCTGAGAGGTTGGTCAGCACTTGGGGGGTGGCATGGATCCCCCTTGCGGAATAGCAACATTATCTCTAATCAGTGGTAGACTACTCTTCCCCAGCCGCAGGAGGGGTGGGATCTAATGGGGGAAACTAAAGCATGGTGGTTGACGCAATAATCTTTTGTGTTTTAAGCAGAAGATCCTAGAGGAGCAGAGAGTGTGTGGTGGTGGTGAAGATGGAAGGATGTTTTTTACATAAGCAGTGCACTGCCTCCATACCTCAGGCCATGGTACAGTGTTATCTGCAATAGGCAAATGGCCTTGACCCTGGAGTCTCATTATTTCCAGTTCTCTGGTTAGGCTGCCACCAGTTAAGGAAAAAAGTAGCTACAGTGAGGGAAGTTTGTTTTCTTTAAGACTGAAGTTGATCATTTGTTTTCTTCCTGTCCATAGCACTAGGGATGTTAATTACAGCTCTGAATGGTGCTTAACAAGAAATGCAATAAACATGTGACTCTGAGCTCAGTTAATGAGTATTATTATCCTTTAAAAATTCTGACTTCGGCAATTACACACTAATCAAGAGGAGTGTTCCGATGTGAGGCTCAACACAGCAGGAATTTGAGAGGACAGCTCACAGCCCTGTCTTGGAGAGCTGAATCATAAAAGGGCTTATAGCCCCATTTGGAGCAGCTTGGTTCACACCTCTCTCTAGTGGTAGCATAGAAACAAATTTCTCACGTTTCTCTGGATTATTGCTTGAAAGAGTTGAAGTAAGGGCAGAAGAACCAAGCTAAGAAACCCAAACTTTCTTGTTTTCATTGGTGGTTCCAGACTTAGTATGTCTCTACCCTTCCAAAGCTTCAAGCCATTTCAGCGCACTATCATGAAATGAGATATGGTTAATGGCAAGTAACATTGAGTGATTCTTCCCCAATCCTGATTCATTGACTCCCAGGCATCAGCCAACTGGAATGGGAAAAACACTTGGGTCATAGGCTGACTCTTGTAATTGACCCCAATGCTAAGCCAAGGGTCTTGACACCCTGACTTGTTATTTTCTGTGTGGCAGCTGGATCAGAGAAGCCTAGCTTGACAGTCATTATTAGAAATACTGATCAACATGGCAAGGGTCGGAAACCTAGAGCACAAATGTTTCCAGAGCCGTCTGTAAAAGGATCCACAGGACGATGAGAGGAGCGAATAGACCATTTGGAATGAGGCATGTGGCCTGAGGGAGAACAAGGAAGTTCTTTCATAGCTTGGGAATAGGGACTGCGGCAGGAAAGGGAGGGAACCTATCAAGTCCACGAAGTTTTTCTGTGAGATAAATACTTTGCTGCAAAGTCTGGCTAGAAAACAGGAGCAGGCCAAGACTGCACAGAGGACAGGAGCCTAAGTCAGGTCGCTCCCATATCCCGTCACCTTTCTCGGAGCATATTCCATAAACGTTAAGTCCCATAGTAACCAAAACCTGAGGTGGGAAGTAAAGCAGCATGCCTTTGTTTATATCTGCATTTCCCAGGAATAACTTGACCATGGCACATTTGGCAAATACCCATCACTATACCATGGATTGGGTATTCTAATCATTTTGGGAAAGGCTCTTCTCCAGGAAGCCCTCTTGATCGCTTAATTACTTACCCCTTCCCGTTTTATGGCCTTTGATCATACAGGTAAATACCTGCATGAATCACTCTGAGCTAGTCAGCCTCCAAGGCAGGTGCAAAGGGCAGCTCTATCTAGCTTGCCTAAAAAGGAACAAGTACCATGTGACAGAGGAATCTACTGCCTTGCCTGGCTCTGTGGCCCAGTCCGGATGGGTCTTCTAGAATCAGCTGAGGAAGGTGGTAGGACTCAGCAGTCTGTATTTCTCTCAGCTACAGCCCCGAACAAGCTCTGGGAAGAGCACCATTCACTATGGTCACTGTTTCCTCCTCTTATAAAGGGCAGCTAGGAGCTGTGGTGCCAACTTAAAAAAAAATGATATCCTATTCCCTAGGCACTGTACAGCCACTTTTAGTCATTCCCAGGGAACCCTCCACTGAAGCAGATAGAACCTATCACCAACCGTTTTGGGGGAGAGGAGCTAGTCACCTAACTCAAATCCAGTCATTCAGAGCAAGGACTAGCAGCCTTCTTGCTCATCTTCAGCCTGGGCATATTCATCTTCCACTGGTCCCCAGAGCAACTGATCTTGGGCCAGAGCTGGGGACCAGAAGCAAGCAGGTCTTAGTATCTGTGTGTTTGCACTTGACATGTCTTTAACTGTGAGGGAACTCTTGTTCCTCTTCTGCTCCAAGTAATCCTAGCCCGCCAAGGTAAACCTCCAACCATCATTTGGGATCTTTTTTCTTGCTGTCCTTCGGCTATACATGCTCACTCAAACCAATTTGCAACTGGAATAATATTTATTTTTACTTGGCAAAAAGTCAAGTGCTACATTTTTAAAAACAAAATCTCAAACAATCAAACATATTACCCATCACAGAAGAGGGTCTGGCAACAGTACAAAACATCCTACTTAAGATCTTTTTTTTTTAATATAGAAGTTGGTTTAAAATGATAGAAGTTCTGTGAGAACTAAGAAATCTACAGACTGTAGTTTAATAGAAAAAAAATTAAGACAATTAAAAGATCTATAGTATCCAGCATTTTACTTAATTCCCTGTTTATAGCACCTATTTCTCTAGGTTAGATGAGAATTCTAGAACCTGTGGTGTGCACCTGGTGTATCACCAAGATAGGGTGGACTTGCTGTCTCCCCCACCAGCCCCCATTATCAAGGAGAAGGCACTCTTTTTTTCAATCACCCCACTTAGACCCAGAGCAGAGGGGGATAACTGGGAGAACAATTTAGAAACTAGAGTGCAGGAATAAATATGACTTTTCATTTCCCCAGGATAGGCTGCTGACAGAAGCAGAGTATGTGCTTAGAATGGAGGAGGAATCGGTGGGTGGGAACAGCTGCAACATGATGCGTAAAAAGCAAGGAATAACTGGACATCACGGTCAGTCAGTTGCCTGCAAGTTTCAAAACCTCAGACTAAACACAGTTCAAGGGGGGAACAAATTACTAGTCACATCAATGCTTTTACATGCACAATGTTGCTGGCTATAGGCCACCCACCACCATCCCAGGGCTGAGCCAACAGAGAGGGAGAGGTGGCTTCAACCCCAGCCCCACTGTAATAAGAAAATGAACATTCCACACATGAAGGACTCGCTACACACAGATAGACCCCCTGCTTACCCCCACCCTCCTGGACTGAACCCAATTTAGAAAAGCAAAGCAAAACCCACTGGGGAGATTAGAAGAAAGGCAAAGGAGACGTTTCTCCCCAAAGCCAAGGGGACTGAGTATGTGAATGTTAGCAGACTTAAGGCCCCCTGCTCCAGGCCCCTGAGATACCAGATCAGGTCTTGTTTGAAGAAGGAAAAGGAAGACTGGGATGGGGATTCTCTTTACCAAGTTCTACCAAGCCTTCTGCAGCCTCCAGAACTGCATCCAGATAGAAACCCTCATGTTTTAGGGGAGTGGCCACTGGCTAAGCAGATGGGAAGTTAAAGTGGAAATGACACACAGAAGTATTCTCACCTGGGCAACACCAAGTTGGGAAGTTAGATAGGGGACGGATCACTCTGGAGTCCTGGGATAAGCGTCACTAGGAAGCCTGCAATCTAACTAAAAGGGTTTTCCTGGTGGTGATTGTTTTTCTGTTTTTAATTCCTATAATCAGTGCTGTTAGACTTTTACAAAACAAGATAAAGACTAGTCCCAAAGCTGACTCTGTGAATAAAGTTGTTTTTTTTTTTTATAAATATTTTAATTACAAGTAATTCTTACTCCAGGTACTTTCAGTGACACACAGTGTTTGCAGGCATCCAAGTTCTCTTTCTCAAACAGACACACACACAACAGACACACACACAGCCCCCAAACTTTCACAGAAAGTCTGACAGCAACCACATAATTATAAAGGAGCCCTACCTCTCAAGAGTGAAGTAAGGGTGAGAATGAGTACGCCAGCCTAAAGAACCAAAAGGGGAGAGTGTGTGTCACTTAAGGAAAAAATAAGAATTAACAGTGTTTGGTTGAGAAGCCAGAAAGAAAAAAGACAGTAAAATTCTGATTACCAAAAGCTGAAGAAAAAAACCAACAACAAAAAAGGCTTCGGATTTCTGTACAGAGCTTCCTGTCAAGTGCCTAAACCATAGGCAAACTCTCCTGTTCCCACTAACATGAGGGCCTCACACAACTGGAAGAAAATAAAAAGAAACAAGAAAACTAAGAATGGAAGTTAGTGTAAATCTCTGCATTTTGGGAGAGAGTTAGTTGTCATTAACTCCAGAGCCCAGCATAGTTTCCATGGAGCCCTGAAGGGAGGGGTCCTCCTGCCACAAAGAGTTTCGTTCCGGACGAATCGTAGCAGTGGGTGTAAACAGCATTGGGGAAGAAATCAATGTCCGAAAAGTAATTCCTCCAGGTTTCATCATGATTCTATGGGAAGAAAACAAGACTCTGTTAGCACCTCTAGGCCATGGGGCAGAGAAGAGGACAGAAAGGGACAGGAATGCCTTCTGGTCTTAAGAGGAGAGGGTCCTGCATTTAACCTGATGTCAGGAGACTGTGATTGGTGTTCATGGGAAATGGAGCCTCATGCTCCCAAATGAACATGAGGCAGGAACAGGCTGAACAACTGCTATACCAACCCAAAGTCTCAGGACAGCTGGAACCAAACTCTTTAGTAATTCAGTGGCCACCACAGTGTGGGGGGGGGTGCTTCTCCTTCCAGATCTATTATCACCTGGGGGGAATCCCGAGTCAACTAGCTTATCTTACTGGGCTTCGGTTTTCTCATGGACATGTAGACACAGAAGCAAAATCAAGGGAGAGTGCCTTTCTCTGCTCTAAGGAGTGCCTCTTACCATTGAAAAAGTATGTGGGTGGCTGATGTATCAGTGGGGGTGGGAAGAGGTGGGTAGACTGAAGGCAATTTTTCTGTCACTGTTCAGTAACCATGTCAGAAAGGGGCTTACTCACCAGCCAGCCTTTGCCAGTGGTCAGTTTCAGATTCTCCCCTGCTAGTCTGGGTTTCGACCCATAACAAGCTGAGAGCCTCTCTTCCAGAAATCTCTGAGCTCGGATGTCATAGAACAGCAGGGAACCCTGCCCTGTACCCACAGTGATGATGTGCTCATAAAAGCTCACTGACCGGATCCCTGAGAGAGACAAAAGTAAAGGGCAATGAGTAGGGAGAGCACACAGTGACAATCTGCTAACCTGTATTTCTCTGGCACTGAGGTCACATGGTACCTCCACATACTAGACAGTGGCTTTCCCAGGTGTTTATGGCAGGAATAGCTCCTGTGAAAGCCTGAGAACCCTGGCGGCACAATGCCCATTCAAACACTAATAGGAACCTTTCCATAAGCCTTAGAGATGTGCCAGAGGCCTGATGATGCCTAAGATGCCTTTGGCCTAAGACCCTAAGTATACCCAGAACCTCCCTCCCCTAGACTTGTTGTGGAGTCATCTTTCCGAACTCTAAACTCTCTTTCAGTATGTTTCCAACCTATACTGAAACAGGGTAATCTGCTATTTACAAATCATTATGTTAAGAAGGACTTCTTCCTATCTGACCTAAAACCACTACCATGCCAGAGGTCTTTATCTGATATTGCATCTGTGGATCAAATAAGTGCATGGGATACAAAGATGTCTCTTGGCACATCAGAGGGGCTCAGTAATATCTATGGAATCAGTATTTCCTTGTTAGGCATGAAAGCTACTCCTGTAATAGTAACCAAAATCTCATGAAGCCTTTTTTTATTTTTTATTTTTTTTTTAGGGGTGCCTGGGTGGCTCAGTTGGTTAAACATTAGACTCTTGATCTCAGTTCAGGTCTTAAATCTCAGGGCTGTTAAGTTCGGGCCCTGCATTGGGCTCCATTTTGGACATGGAGCCTACTTTAAAAAGAGATTTCATTTAATTTTTAAATTACAAATTTTAAAAGATTTATTTATTTGATAGAGAGAGACACAGTGAGAGGGGGAACACAAGTAGGGGGAGTGGGAGAGGGATAAACTGGCTTCCCGCTAAGCAGGGAGCCCCACTCGACGTGGGGCTTGATCCCAGAACACTGAGATCATGACCTGAGCCGAAGGCAGACGCTTAACGACTGCGCTACCCAGATACTTTAAATTTTTAATTTTTTAATCTCTCTATCCAACATGGGGCTCAAACTCACAACCCCAAGACAAGAATTGCATGCTACTGAGCCAACCAGGTGCCCCTAAAGATTTTATTTTTAAGTAATCTCTACACACAATATGGGACTTGAACCTATAACCCAGAGATCAAGAGTCGCATGCTCCATCGACTGCGCCTGACAGGGGCCTCTCTTAAAGCTTTTCATTGCAGGCATTATTCCAGCCAAGCCTATTTATTCTTCCCCTTACAACTCTCATTGCACACATTATTCTCTGGGGGCTGAAACATGAGTGTCTTAACTATAACTGAAAACCAACCCCAAACAAAAGCCACTTTTGCAGTATCTGCATGAAAATAAACAATACGGGGCGCCTGGGTGGCTCAGTGGGTTAAGCTTCTGCCTTCAGCTCGGGGCGTGATCCCAGGGTCCTGGGATGGAGCCCCGAATCTGGCTCTCTGCTCAGCGGGGAGCCTGCTTCCTCCTCTCTCTCTGCCTGCCTCTCTGCCTACCTGTGATCTCTGTCAAATAAATAAATAAAATCTTAAAAAAAAAAAAAGAAAATAAACAATACTTGGAAGAGAGAGGCTAAATTGTAATCCATAGTGTGCCTTTTAGGACTTCCAGGATAATGCAGCTACATTTTTGCATGAGAAGGGGAACAGTGAGATAAAATATACTTTGTTAACCTGAATGATCTGGATTCTAGTCTATGGCTGTTCTCCCACCAATCTGTATGATGTTGAGCACGTTATTTTAACTGCTCTGGGTCTTGGTCTCCTCATCTATAAAAAAGGGTTAACACTAACCTTACGTTTTTCCACCTGCTTCCCACAGGGTTCCAGGTAAGATGAAGTAAGACCGCAGATAAAGGTATTTTGAAATCTTAAGGTACAATACAAACTTAAGTCTTTTTATTCCTTAATAAATAAAGAGTCCTCTCAGAGAAAATATATCGTAAAAGATGGGAGCCTGGGTGCCTGGGTGGCTCAGTGGGTTAGGCCTCTGCCTTCGGCCCTGGTCACCATCCTAGGGTCCTGGGATGGAGCCCCACATCTGGCTCTCTGCTCAGCAGGCAGCCTGCTCCCGGCCCCCTGCCTCTCTGCCTACTTGTGATCTCTCTGTCAAATAAAGAAACAACATCTTAAAAAAAAAAAAAGATGGGAGGCTGGGGTGCCTAGGTGGCTCAGTCAGTTGAGCGACTGCCTTCAGCTCAGGTCATGATCTCGGGGTCCTGCGACTGAGCCCCACATCTGGCTCCCTGCTCAGTAGGGAGTCTGCTTCTCCCTTTCCCTCTGCTGTGCCCCCTGCTTGTGCTCTCATTTGAGCGCTCTCTCTCAAAATAAATTAAAAAAAAAAAAAAAAGATGGGAGGCTGAAGCTGAATTCACTCCCAGTGGAACTAAACTAAGTAGGGCGCCTGAGTGGCTCAGTGGGTTAAGCCTCTGCCTTCGGCTCAGGTCATGATCCTGGGGTCCTGGGATCAAGCCCCGCATCGGCCTCTCTGCTCAGCTGGGAGCCTGCTTCCCCCGCCTCTTTCTCTGCCTACTTGCAATCTCCCGCTGTCAAGTGAATAAATAAAATCTTTAAAAAAAAAAAAAAAGCAAAAAAAGGGGGCACCTCGGTGGCTCAGTAGGTTAAGGCCTCTGCCTTCGGCTCCGTCATGGTGCCAGGGTCCTGGGATTGAGCCCTGCATCGGCCTCTCTACTTGGCAGGGAGCCTGCTTCCCCCCCCCCCCCATGCCTGCCTCTCTGCCTACTTGTGATCTCTCTGTCAAATAAATAAGTAAAATCTTTAAAGAAAAAAAAAAAAAGAACTAAACTAAGTATTTTCTTCAGTTTTTACTGAGGTATAAATGAAAAACAATACACTACACATATTTAAAGTAGGACCCTGGGATCATGACCAGAGCAGAAAGCAGCGGCTAAGCCCAGTGAGCCACCCAGGTGCCCCCAATCTGAAGTTTTAACATATGTATATAGCCACGACACTACCAGAACAATCAAAATAACGAATATATCCACCACCTATCCGCCACCCTCAAAAGTTTCCTCACGCCCCCAGTAAACTCCCTCACTGCACATCAACCCTTAGCATAAATGAAGTTTACTGTTCAGGCAAGGCACCAGCAAAAACTGCCAAAGGACAGAAAGTCAAGATATGTGAAAGAATATGAAAACCACCAATATCCTACTGGTTTCCACTAAAGGCTTCACGTGGCCACAAATTTGCCTCTGGTGGCTTGAGGCTCTGCTGCCATTTGCAGGTTCATAAGCTCCCTTCTTCTGTCACCAAATACCTCCACCAGGTTTCATAAAGATCACTATACTTGTTCTGCAACCAACGTAGAAACTTAAAGTCAAAACCCGTCTGCAATGCACTTCTAAGGCGGGACACAGTGGGACTCTCTTTTTCTTTCTTTCTTTCTTTCTTTCTTCTTTTTTTTTGGTGCAAAATGGTGGTTTATTAAAGCACAGGGACAGGACCCATGGGAAGAGCCACTGCCCCAGGTCTTGAGGAGTGGCTGATTATAGACTCCTGAGGTGGGGGAAGTAAGGAAAAGGGAGGTTTCAAAAGAACTTTCATATGCTAAAGAGGACCCATCTACAAGATACCCAAGATACCCGGGGTCTTGCCACTGTCAAGTTGTTTTCTCCTCTAACAAGGTATTAACATTTAGCTCTGAGATCCCTGGAAGAATGCCACACAGGTCCCACCCAGGAGTGAGGAGTGGGAGGTGAGGGGGAGGTTGCAGGGTGTCAGCTTGTGCTTTGTCTTCAGCTAGCCTTCAGCTTCCTCATCATCTACCCCTGAAAAATTATATGACCCTTCAATCTTTAAGGCTGTTTAAGGTGGAAGGTCTCATCTTCTGCAATATCTTCCTACTGAACAGGGGCCATACCACGACTCTTACCACTGCCTCGCTCCCTGGAGCAAACAGACTTGACGTTGTATGATGGCTGCCGTGGATCCAAGAAGGAGACATGAGCTTGGGAGCCCACCGCATATACTGACCATTCACTACCATAGGCCAGGCACACATTCTCACGGCAATATGGCAGTTTGGTGGAGAGGAGCTGAAACAGAGAAAGAAGTGAGGCAGGGGAGTGTTCTTAGTTAGATGCCCAATTCCATGGGCTTCCTTCAAACAAAAAGACAAAAATAATGCCCTGTTTCACCACTAAGTAAGAGAAAGAGAGGGTGACTAATATGCAGTAAGATCTCAGTAATGGGAAGGACTGATTAGGGGAAAAGATTAATTTGGAATTAAATAATTAGAAGCAGAAAGGCTTAGACCTACAGGTTATTTCCAGCCATGGTCACACTGTTCTCTGCCATGACCCTCTCGGCTACCACCCTCCTCACTGTTCTTCATATAAAGGGGCTGATTTCTGGCTACTATCAGCCTAGCTTCCCAATTATACGTATGGGAGTTACACACCACAAACAGCACACTCATGGGATTGGGTCAACCTCAGCTAACAACACTCAGCCTTAATCCTGGATCCTTGTCATTCACCCCATCCTTAGTGGGTGCCTATAAGGCACCAACCAAGGTCAGTGGAGCTCAAAGGCTGCTTGACATGAAGGAGTCAGTTATTCCTGGAACTCTGCTTCCTCTTGAGAAAGAGTCTATCACAGAAGTAATAAGCAGCAAAAGTCTTTGGGACAAGAGGGACCCACAGGTAGGTTTCACTTTGTGCAAAAGTTGCTTGTAAAGACTGTAAATATTCTCATTACTTATTATTTCGGAGATAGTTTATCTTAGTTTAATTGATTTTCAGTAGCTGGTAATTCTAACTTCTAGGTTTTCCTGCCCTTTCAACATGATAAATGGCCAATAATCCATAAGCTAATACTTAAATGCCTTGTGGACTAGAGGACTGCTTGTAGACAGCAAGTCCTTGCAATGTGAAAGATTCTCCCCCTCTGATCTCTTTAAAAGACTTTTAAGAGAGGCATGTTAGACTCAGAGTTCCATGCACTGTGCATTAACATGCCCAGACCCTTGGAAAACTGGTGACTTAGATAAGAATGAAAAGGCTCAGGAAGAATAAAAGTATTTTAACCAAAAGGTGAATTTTCAGGTAAAACCACTAAGTCATGTTCATCACACCTTAGACAGTGTATTTTCAGCCTTCCAGAGATGAAAATAACCATCCAGAGATACTGCTCCCAATTCCTACAAGAGCAATGAAAAACAGGTTATATTTCAATCTGTAGCAACTAATACATGGTAGTAAGCAGGGGAGGACCCTGAAGGTTGGGGTCCTCCCACTCTTCATTCATTCTTATCCCATGATTCCAGCAGGGGGGCCAGGGATGGTCAGCCCATCACCTCACTCCATGGAATGCAGCTGGACAGCATATTAAATTAAGGTTGCTATTTGGGAGAACTCAAAAAGGAAGCCAGGTTCTAGCAGTAATATAAACACCCATGATTCCAAAAGCTCTTACTATGCAATCATTCCCATGACATCCTGTTAGATAGTTTCAGCAGAATAAACACATGAAGGACAGTTTCATAAATGGCAGTATGAGAACTTCTATGAGTGGAGAATCTCAATCTATCTCTAGGCTACAGTTATGGCCAGAAGTTAGGAGATTAAGGGAACTACCCTTCAAAATGTGGCCTGATTGAGATTTTGGGAGCTCTTCCTCTCTTTTGGCTCTGAGTCCCCATCCCAACATTCTACTTAATATCCCGTTTCAGATCTGACTAAATGATTAGGTAAGACCTGCTGGTAGGTTGAAAAGAGGCAGTGAAGCATGAAAAGAAACTGAATACCAAAGAGAAAAAAAGCCATCGTCTTCAGAGGTATGTATGAAAATCACACCCAAAATAGAGCACCTGCAAAGGCATGTGCAAATGAGAGACAGTCAAATCAAAGTGTCCTTAGTGTCCCTAGGGTAACTCTGCGTGGCTGACCCACAAAGATGGACCCTCCAGAGAAATACTGCAGAGCTCAGTGCAAGGGATGGGTTTCATAATCTCAGTTATAATTTCTCACCAGCAACCCTCAGCCTTCAATCCTCCATGGGCTCAGAACTAACCTATATTAGCAATTATTAACTTGGAAGGAGAAGCCAAGTGCCAAGATATAAGCCCAGAAGCTGAAGCAATAGAGTGAGTCTTCCTCCGTGGTGAGCTCATACCTTGTTCTTGTTGTTGAAGGCCAGAGCCCGGACCTTGCAGTTGTCAGGGTTTGTGTCCTCCTTGGGAATGTCCTTTAAGGCCTTGTGAGTAATGTGAGCATACACAGGGACCCGTGACACATTGTGCCTTGCATCACTTTTGGTCAACACATCGTCTGTCACCTCCCAGAGTCCCATAGAGCCATCACGTGAGCCTACAGGGCAAGGAGACCACAGATGTCAGACATAACCCAACTCTCTATGGACAGTCCTACAGAAACCAAGATCTTTGTACATCATCCTCATATGTGCTAAAGCTTGGTCAGGTGGCCCACTGCAAAACAGAGAACAGTATACATTAAGAGCTACAAGAGGAATGATTTAACTAAGATGTAGGAGCTAAAATATAACCTTTAACCTTTGGTAAGATTTTTAATTTTACTATTTATTTATTTTTAAAAGACTTTATTTACTTGACAGAGAGAGGGAACATAAGCAGGGGGAGTGGGAGAGGGAGAAGCAAGCTTCCTGCTGAGCAGGGAGCCTGATACGGGGCTCAATCCCAAGACCCTGGGGTCATGACCTGAGCCACTCAGGCATCCTTTGCTGATTTTTTTTTTTTTTAAGATTTTATTTATTTGACAGACAGAGATCACAAGTAGGCAGAGAGGCAGGCAGAGAGAGAGGAGATCAGACTCCCTGCAGAGCAGAGAGCCCGATGTGGGGCTCAATCCCAGGACCCTGGGATCATGACCCAAGCCAAAGGCAGAGGCTTTAACCCACTGAGCCAACCGGGCACCCTCCTTTGCTGGGATTTTTTAAGAGACTTTTTTTGTTTAAAGATTTTATATTTTTATTTATTTGATAGAGAGATCATAAGTAGGCAGGCAGAGAAAGAGGGGAAAGCAGGCTTCCGGCTGAGCAGAGAGCCCAACGCGGGGCCCGATCCCAGGACCCTGAGATCATGACCTCAGCTGAAGGCAGAGGCTTAACCCACTGAGCCACCCAGGTGCCCCAATTTTTTAAGTCTTATGCTCTACCGACGGAGCTAGCCAGGCACTAGATTTTTGAAAGAGAGTACTACAAAGTTTGAGAAAACTCAGTAATTTTCCAAGCCAAACGTTTGGCTTGGTCACCTGGGCATGCACGCACAACCAATGTCTGGCAGTAGGGTTTGGGACCCTCCACCTGAAATCAGTGGTGCTTAATCTTTTCTGACTATATGCCTCTGAGAGACCTAGGAATGTTAAAGACCCTCTTCCCTAGAAAAATACACCAAACACCACACTGTGCATTCAACTTTAGGGAGGTTCATGAACCTCTCGAAGGCTTTCCATGGGTCCAGAGGGACCATAAGCCCCAAGTTAGGAATGACTATATGGGGCACCTGGCCAGTTCAGCTGGTATAGCATGCCACTCTTGACCTCGGGGTTGAGAGTTCGAGCTGCATGTCGGGTGCAGAGATTACTTAAAAAAATAAATAACGACTGTTCTATAAAAAATTAATACTTAAAAAGATAGTTTTCCTTAGTATACATAAATGAAGCACCTAATTCCTTTCTAGGGGCACCTGGGTGACTCAGTTAGTTGACCATCCTAATCTCAGCTCAGGTCTTGATCTCAAGGTCCTGAGTTCAAGCCCACACTGGGCCCAGTGTGGGGCTTGAATATTTATTATATAAATATAATATTTATATTATATTAAATATAATAAATAGATAAGATAGATAAAAATAAAATTCCTTTCCAGTAAAGTTATTCACCAACTCTCCTTTAGACTAGAAGGTGCCCTTCCCACACTGCAAATCTACTGAATAAGCCATAAGGCTTATGGGCAGGGATTTAACGCAGAGGTTTTATCACATGTGAAATCTAGAAAAGGCCAGAGAGAAGGACATATCTGGAGAACTATGCATGGTTTATTATGCAAATTAAAAGGGGCGCCTGGGTGGCTCAGTGGGTTAAAACCTCTGCCTTCGGCTCAGGTCATGATCCCAGGGTCCTGGGATCGAGCCCCGCATCGGGCTCTCTGCTCCGCAGGGAGACAGCTTCCCTTCCTCTCTCTCTCTGCCTACTTGTGATCTCTGTCAAATAAAAAAATTTAAAAAAATAAATAAATAAAACTACACAAGTTTTATAATGAAAAATTCAAGCATACTGAAATATTGAAAGAATTTTACAATGAACTCTTCGATTACATCAATATTCTACAATCAACATTTTATTGTACTTGGCACATTTATCTACATATTCATCCCTCTGTATGATCCCATTTTAACCAACTAAAAAAATAGGTACAGAAAAATGACTGGCAAGGTATTTTTAAAATATTGACAGTAGTTATCCCTGGGTAGAGATATCGAGGATAATTCTTATTGTCTTTTTTGTTTATCTGTATTAAAAAAATTTTCTTATGGGGGCCCCTGGGTGGCTCAGTCAGTTAAGTGTCTGCCTTCAACTCAGGTCATGATCTCAGGGTCTTGATATCAAGTCCTGCATCAGGCTCCCTGCTCAGCAGAGAGCCTGCTTCTCCCTCTCACTCTGCTTCTCCCTCTTCTTGTGCTCTTTCTCTCAAAAAAATAAATAAATCTTAAAATATATGTATAAAAAATTAGGATAAACACATATTACTTTTATAATAAGGAAAAAATATTAAAAAAATTTTTATTATTTTTCAAATATTTTACCCACATATTTGCCAGAGAGAGAGAGAGAGAGACAGCGTGTGAGTGCATATGCAGGGGGAGCAGCAGGCAGAGTGAGAAGCAGGCTCCCCACTGAGCAAGGAGCCCAATGCAGGACTCGATACAAAACTCTGGGATCATGACCTGAACTAAAGGCAGATGCCCAAACAACAGAGCCACCCAGGAGACCCGGAAAAAATTCAAAGAACTAGTATAGCAGCATCATGAAGATTGACTGGAGAAGACAGAACAGAAGCAGAGAAAAAATATGGATGGATATCAGGGGTATTTCAAGATATAGATAATGAGCATGCTAGCAGAGAAGATAGTAAAGAAACTGTAGCTAAGAGGGTTTTTGTTAGGTTTTTCTTAGTGACATACAATGTTTATAAGAATCTAGAACTGGGGTATTGTATTTTTACATATGGGTCCTGAGCAAAACTGGTTAGCACTCTGAGCCTACTTTCTAAGGTGCTGTAGGTATCTAGAAAGCATTTGTGTATCTCTAGATTACCTTCTCTACACTCACTTCCATGTATTTTTTTCTGATGTCTTCCACTGGGAAAGAAATTCCCCCCAATCCTATAGCTTTTATCAACAAGAAACACACCATATAGTTGTACAGAAAATAACTACTAATACTTCACATCAACTATTCCAAAACACTTTCAAAACCAATGTCACAATGAAGCCCACAAAAACGTTGTGGATAACATGCTGTCACACATACTTTTGGGAATAAGGCAGAGTATGAATAATAAATGAAGAATGCTGGTAACTCCTCTTTCCAGATCAGGAATATACAGGGGAAATGACTTATCCAAGGAGACACAGTAAGTTAGAGAAAGAGCCAATACTGGTAATAAGATCTCCCGGCCAATGGTCTGTTTACTGGGCTATTTCTTTTTTTTTTTTTTTTTTTTTTAAATTTTTTTTTAAAGATTTTATTTATTTATTTGACAGAGAGAGATCACAAGTAGGCAGAGAGGCGGGCAGAGAGAGAGAGAGAGAGGAGGAAGCAGGCTCCCTGCCGAGCAGAGAGCCCGACGCGGGACTCGATCCCAGGACCCTGAGATCATGACCCGAGCCGTAGACAGAGGCTTAACCCACTGAGCCACCCAGGCGCCCTACTGGGCTATTTCTAATCACACTGCTACCCCTTTTAACTTCTAGTGTCCCTCCCTCCCTGCCACATCAAAACTCCATATAAAAGGTCAATTTTACCAGACACAGCCATAGTATCACTGATCCATGCAATGGAAAAGATCCAGTCCTTGTGTCCATCCTTGGAGAGGGGAGGAAAAAAAAGAAATTAGTAAAAAAGGATTACAAGTCACACTCTTTAAAAGCTTATAGTCTGACTGAAAATATCTTTGTAAAAATTACAATTCTGATCTCTGATGAGCTTAACCCATAGGGCAGGATCCCACCATTTTTAACTTTTTTTTTTAATTATTATTTTTTTTTTTTCATAATTTTTAACTTCTGTCTTGAGCTCAAAGCTGAAATGAAACTAGCATTCCTACAGGCAATGAACATGTCTGGTAGACACACAGGTCTTGCCTTCTAACCTCTGGATGTCTTATTTTGGGCTCCTACACACGATCACCCACTTCTAATCCCTCTAACCTCATCCTACCACTCCTCTCTGTCCTTCCTGGTACAACAGCTACACCTGACCTCTTTGCTATTCCTCCTATCTGTAACTCGTCTCCAGACATCTATATGACGTGCACTCACTCTCACTTCCTGTGTGTCTTCCTACTCAAATGTCATTCTTATCAATGAGGACTTCCCTGACCATCCTCTAAACAGCATTCTCCACCACTATCCCTTTAATCTGCCTTTACTCTTCTCCAGGGCACTTATCACATTCTGATATACTGCTGGAAAATATTTATTGGTCTATGTATTGGTTTATAGGTCTCCCTCCAAGAGGTGAGGAGCTTTATCTGTTTTATTCACCACATTGTCCCCAGTTTCTGAAACAATGCCCAGACATAAAAAGCTCAATAAATAGTTGCTGAATGATTTAATAAACTTTGGCGACTATGGGCAATGGGAGATATACGGACACTGCATTAAAACACCAAACCACTGCTGCTGGCCCTAAAGTATACTGCTCATCCCTTTATCAAACACACACTGTCAATATACTTCCCTATGGGGTGTTCAGTCCCCATTTTGATATTTCTACTCTCACAACTTACCCCCATACCCTTGCAGGCAGCAGAAATTTAGAGGAAACTATTCTTTCCCAGGGGGCATGTGGGAGGAGGGTCCATGTTACTTACCAGGCTCTGCTTAAGAACAAAGCTATCTCTACAGTTATTGGGGAACAAAACTACCTCTACAGTTACTGGGGAAACTTACATCACCCACACACACAGGATCTAGTGTAGGTAGCCGGTAGATGGCAAGACTGTTGGGGTTGTCTCCTCCAGTGGCTAACAGAGTTCTGGAGGGATTCAGCTCGATGGCATGGATGCCACAGCCCTGCTGGGTCACGCCTCCAGGCTCCCGGTCCTTTAGAATGGGGATCTTGGTGATCTGGCTTGTCTGCACATCCACGACAAATAGCTACAAGAAAAGGGACACACGTAAGTTGACAGTTTCTCTTCCATGTGGCTAACCTGGGGTACAAACACCCATTCACTCAATTATCCCTTAAACGTTAATTAATGTCTACTACCTGTTCACTCAATTATCCCTCAAACATTTTAGACTCTGGGAATTGCTAAAGGCATAGTCAGGGCTATTAGTCAAATGAAATATGAAAATAAGAAAATACAATAGAGACAAGGATAACATGTTACATGAACACAGATTAGCAAGCAATAAATTCTGCCTGGGATTCAAAGATAGCTTCAAAGAGGACGTGCATTAGATTGTGGACCTAAAGAACCCGACTAAAGGTTTTCTGCCAGTTTGGACATATTTTTTTTTTTTCAAGATTTTATTTATTTGACAGGCAGAGATCACAATAGGCAGAGAAGCAGGCAGAGAGAGAGAGGGGAAGCAGGCTCCCCGCTGAGCAGAGAGCCGGATACGGGGCTCGATCCCAGGACCCCAGGATTATGACCTGAGCCAAAGGCAGAGGCTTTAACCCCCTGAGCCACCCAGGCACCCCTTGGACATATTTTATATATCTAATTCTCATCTACCCATGTATAGAAACTTAAAAACAAAATTCCCAGAGTCCATCACAATTACTATTAAATGTACTGTAAACATTAGGTTTGTTGGAGTGACTAGAGATATGACAAGCTCTTCTCCACCTCTTTTCCAACCTAACCCCTTTTTACTCTGCCAGATTTAACTCAAAGAAACGTTTGGTCTCTAAGAAAGAACATTCCTGAGTCTTTATTAAACTCTTTATGGGATTAAATGATTCACTCTCTTTCATTCATTCAGCACCAACAAAATACCAAGTACTGTTCTAGGTGCTAGCAATGTGACCATATACCTTAGTACAGGAAGGTAGCTTAAAATCCTCTGAGCAATTCTTGTGATGAAGCCAAATCATGTCAAATCTCTGTATAAAGTAACCTGCTTGCACCGGAAGGAGATCTATGAAAGGAGAAACTATTCTTTCAGTTGGCTCCTGCCTCTCATCCTCTTTCTCATCACCTCTCTGGACAACTGCAACTGGTCTTTGCGCCTTCAAGCAAGGCCACCATCAAAACTATTCTCTATATTGTATCGGTCATCTTTATAAAAACAGCAATCAGTTAAAAATATCCATAGGTGGGATGCCTGGGTGGCTCAGTGAGCTAAGCACCTGCCTTTGGCTCAGGTCATGATCCCAGAGTCCTGGGATAGAGTCCCACATCCTGCTCTCTGCTCATCCAGGAGCCTGCTTCTCTCTCTGCCCCTCCCCCAAACTCAAGCATGCTCTCTCTCATGTGCAAAAATAAATAAAAATACTTAAAGTTTATATATATGTGTGTGTGTGAGTGTGTGTGTGTGTACATACATAAGATATAAATATCCATGGGGCGCACGGGTGGCTCAGTTGGTTGAGCAGCTGGCTCTTGATTTCTGCTTGGGTCATGGGCTCAGGGTTGTGGGATTGGGCTCTGCATTAGATTCTGGGCTCAGTGGGGAGTCTCCTTGGGGATTCTCTCTTCCACTCCCCTTGCCCTCATGCACTTGCATGCAAACGCTCTGTCTAAACTAAATCTTTATTATTTATTTGTTTATTAAAAGATTTTATTTATTTACTTGACAGAGATCACAAGCAGGCAGAGAGGCAGGCGGGGGTGGGTGGGGTGGGGTGGGAGCAGGCTCCCCGCTGAGCAGAGAGCCTGATGTGGGGCTCAATCCCAGGACCTCAAGACCACAACCCGAGCCAAAAGCAGAGGCATTAACCCACTGAACCACCCAGGTGCCCCTGAATCTTTCTTTTAATCTGAGAAAGAGAGAGAGAGAGAATGAGCAGGGGGAAGGGGAGAGGGAGAGAATCTTTCAAGCAAACACCCCACTCAGCAAGAAGCCCAACAAGGGGCTCAATCCCACAACCCATGAGATCACCACTTGAGCTGAAACTGAGAGTCAGATGCCTAAATGAATTAGTCACCCAGGTGCCCCAATAAATAAATATTTTTATTTATTTATTATTTTTAAAGATTTTATTTATTTATTTGACAGACAGAGATTACAAGTAGGCAAGAGAGGCAGGCAGGGAGAGAGAGGAGGAAGCAGGCTCTCCGCGGAGCAGAGAGCCTGATGCGGGGCTTGATCCCAGGACCCTGGGATCATGACCTGAGCTGAAAGCAGGGGCTTTAACCCACTGAGCCACCCAGGCGCCCCCCAATAAACAAACATTAAAAAAAAAAAAATTGGTTTCTCTTTACCTAAATCTAAACTCCTTATCATGGCATCAAGATTCTTCAATCTGGCCCCAACCTTTCTCTCTAGCTTTACATCCTGCCATGGATCTATGCTCTAGAAATAACAGCTTATTAACTATTATTCACACAAAAATCTGCAACAAAATGTAATTTTTTTGTTTTGTTTCATGCTCATGCTCTTCACAATACCAGAAATGCTTCCCCCCCCCTTTTCTGTACCTGGACAGGATGTACTTATCTTTCATGATTCAGTTCGGACATGTCCTCTCTGAATATTCCCTAAATATTTCAGGCTGGTTAAATTTTTCTTTTGTAGGTTTTCCAGACAGCTAACTACCCACAACACTTAGACTGTATCACTGCTTTAAAATCTTGTCTTTTTCCCCCTGCAAGCTAATAATGCCTTCCCAATTCAAAGAGCAGGGGACTATCTTATTTGGTTCTGTGATCCTGCCTCAACAATGCAAAGCTATGTGGTAAATGCTTGTGGAAGACATTTTTCAGGCAGGCTGCCCAACAATGTTAGGGGGACCCCACATCTAGGTGTCTGTTTGATATAAGACCAGACCTCCAGATCGGAGAACTACCCAGAGAGGAGAACTATCCCTCCTCTCTCAGGGAGGACCAGTCCAGAGGCTATCCTGGATGGATCAAATTCTCTCAGGAATGTGAAACTGGCTCGGTGGCACTAGACCAAACTGTATGGATGGCTAATTTCTACCAAAGCCAGTCCCCAAAGAGAAGGAAATAGAAGAGCAATAGCATGAACACCTTTAGTTCTAATGGTTTTCCAAGTTCTGTTTCATTTTGAGATCTAGAGATACTTCCTGCTTTTGGGGTTTGCGAACTATCCAATAAACATGAGTGGGTTTCTTACTCTTTTAGAGCAAATGAACTCTATACAACGTAGCCCCTCAAATGTTTAATGAAGGAAAATTAACTGCTCACTTAAGCCTTTGTGGTTTTTGTGTCTTTTAAAGATTTTACTTATTTATTTGACAGACAGAGATCACAAGTAGGCAGAGAGGCAGGCAGAGAGGGAGGAGGAAGCAGGCTCCCTGCTGAGCAGAGAGCCGTTCCGGGCTGGATCCAGGACACTGGGATCATGACCCGGACCGAACGCAGAGGCTTTACTCCACTGAGCCACCCAGGCACCCCAGCCTTTGTGGTTTTGTGGGACAATGCGTCCATAACATGTTACCTTCTAGACTGATGATTCCCAAACTGATAATCACTTGGGTGAATTTTTTCTCAGAAAACCTATGAAACAAAAACAATTTCTAGGCCCTATCCTAAAACTACTCCAATTAGAAATTTCTCACTTTAGGGCCTGTAAAACTAACTTTTTTCCCCAAGGATCTCCAGTTGAATCCAATGACTGCCCAGGTTTAACAATCTCTAATCTAGACAGACCCTTGCTATTCAAAGTTCCCCCACTGGGGAACTTGTTAGGACCCAAGAATCTCAGGCCCTGTCCTAGACCAATTAAATTAGAATCTGGAGTTTCCCAAGATCTCCAGGTACACTGAAGCTTGAGAAAAACTGATGTAGAGAGAATTTATTCTGTATGCTAGGAGGAATGAATCTTGATAAGATACAAGAGTAAACTAAACTGACCTGCAACCTGGAAAAATCCATTTCTCCTATGAAATCTGAGGGCTGGCTAAGGCTTATTTTAGTCCACTGTGTTAGGCCATTCCTTTGTCATTTTGGTTTTTGTTTTTTTTTGGGGGGGGCCATTCCTGTTTTAAAACAGGGCTCCATTCTGCCACCCAGAAAAGGTATGGAGATAAGGTTTCAACTATTCATGTCCAAGAAAGTGTTCAGTCCAACCTCTCCAGTTTGGGATTGGGAGAAATCTAAATTTGAACTCCATATTTGTTATCTATTAGCTATGCAATCTTAGACAAGTCAGTTAACCTTTTCAAAATCTTGTTTGTTATCTATAAAACCAGAATAATATCTGCCTTCTAGGGTGACTAAGAGATCTAATAAAACCTAAAATGTCTAGCACAGGGCTCAGCACAGAACTGGTGCTGAACAAGTAAGAGTTAATAGTAATATACTATTCTAAAGTTTAGTTTTGTATGGTGTAGTTTCATCTACTCTTGATGTGAAAAACACTTGACACAAGGGAAATGAAAAAGTTGGTAACATCTGAGTCTCTAGAGGGCCTAGGAAACCATGAGTTTACCCACAACCTCACTCTTGCAGAGGAATGACAAAGCACCATGTGAAGGACAGAATCCTTTTGCTTTTTCAAAGCAAGGGAAAGGGCTGTGAATGAGCTGCCACAGAATATCTCCCCAAGCTCACTGACAAGGGGCCAAGTCTTCATGAAGCTTCTGTTAACAAATCCCAGAATGGGGCTGTTCTACATTAACCTACTGGGATCCCTGCCAGGAATTAGCAGCATGGCAAGGTAAGTTTGAGTCTCAATGGCTCCCTGCAGCTTACATTCTAAAACAGAGAGGGGAAAAAAGAAAGCAAAGTCCTTACAATCAGGAAGCTTATAAGACTAGAGAGTACATCTCCGAATGCATGTAAAGTGTATATAGAGGAATGCAAAATGCACATAGAGAGATCAAGACAGCTTAATAAGATAGAGGAGCTCACAAAGTTTCTAAAACTGCAAAGTGTTTTAGCTGCAGCCTAATGAAGGAAAGGAAAGTAAATCCACATCGATCAGACAACAAGATAAATTATACTAAGTCAGACAGGAAAAGG